GAGGGACAAGATCAAAATAAACAGCATCAGCTTGACCCTGGGAGCCAACTATTGGGTTAATAAAATCAAGAAATCATTACCATAAATAACATACAGGACCCGTGAGCTATTTAAACAGCGGCACACCAGATGGCACGCCTCAATATTAACTGCAAGTGCACCCAACATCACCACAAGAACGCATCAGCAGGACACGCTCTTTAAGACTGAAGGCGTCATCAAATGCGCATCTAACCCGAACACAATACAAAGTTTTCGTGAGCCTCGCTCACGACTGTGCCTGCGCGAAGTTCTGACGTATTACGATAAGCCGACAGCAGCTTCCAGAAACGCAGTCCTGCGACATTCTGCCAGCGGACTCTACCGAAATATTATTTGGACAGACAGGGCACAATTTAATTGTGAGGGAGCGTTCAACACCCACAAGTCACTCCTCATGCCGTCCATGAATCCACGTATCATGGGGAACAACCCCGAGGGCCCTTACCTGCTACCACACCAGCAATGTTGTGCTCTTCTTCAGTCTGTTTCACTGCGGCTGATTGAAGACGCGCCCCAAAGCATGGCCCCCACTCCACTGGATCTCCTCCTGTGGGAATATTTGAAGAAACACAAAGTGTAAACAGTTCCAACCACAAGCATCAAATACGTTGTCACACAACTGACAACAGTGACATCTTACAGCATTTCCAGAAAAATATCATCTGCCTTTAAGTGCACAACCCCATTTTGAACACCTATTATAAGGGCGATGGGCGTAAGGACCAAGCAAATAAATTTAGTTACTTCGATGCCCATTGTCTTGCCCCATTTCATGGCGAGGGACGTCTTGAAAGCTCGCTGCTTGTTTCAGTACGAGGAATCACACCATAAAAGGCTTCTCTGCAAATTTTTATCTGGTATATACCCCCCACCCAAAACATTCACCTTGAAGATGGCAAATGTAATGTTTCTGAAACAGTGGAGGGGGCCACTCAGCCTGCAAATCGACGTCACACGCTAGACAGCAGAAGCTAAAGATTTGATCTTTCCTTCTGACAACAACAAATATATTTATCAGTAACCCAACGTCTTGTGAAGAATTCTAATTATCCTGTGTTCTGCCAAAATTACTGGACCAAGTCATTCGCACCTTTACACAGCACAAAAAACTAATTAAATTCAACTGTTACTGCCATTAAGCTCTTGTAACGTCTCATTAAATGTGGCAGCAATGACAAGAAATTTACACATATTTATACAGCACAAAATAATATTCTGATACGAAACACAAACAACCTACAGGCCAAGCTTTTCTCTACACTGTTTATGATCTGACGTCTCATCACCACGTACATCTCGTAGCTTTGGATCTAATCACATTACTGACCCTCCAGGGCCTCCGATTATCGAGACCCTCACAACTTGTTTCAAATATGCCACTGTTACATGAAACTTCCACTTCACTTTCATTATCTAACGCTTCATTTACATTAACCAATTCAATCTCACTTTACAGTGACAACAGCTCATTTCCACTTTCTAACGGAACAGTAAAGAAATTCATCACATGCATCTGCCTCTGAGTTTTCTAACCTTCCAGCTGTCGCTGCACCCACTAACAAACATTAAAACTGGAATGAAGAAACTAATATTTCAACCATGGTTATAGGTAAGAAACGCACATATAGATCATAACATTACATGGATAAATTTGTCATACTTAATCACTCTCATTTACAAAATCAACATAAAAAACAGTAACTATAAATGTAAATAATTCTGATCCAAATAGCCTACTTGAAGGAAAATCAAAACCAAGGAAACTAGATGCCAACTCTAATTACAAAAGGTGATATGATTTGGTCTTTGAAATTAATGCTTTTAACCTAACCTAACTTTGTGACAAGGAGAAAGAGTCCACTGGTTTAAAAAAGTAATATCAAGACAGCACTAAAAGCTTAAGTAGCTAGTTTTGTTCATTTCCTCAAAAACATCTGGGATACTTGTTGCAAGTAACAATATGGTATGATAAACTTATATCAAAATTAATAAAATCTCTTCACTCAATACTATTTTCTATGATTTACTTGACTAATGATATACATAAATAAGACTGGAACTCTATTAACACACAATACATCAAACCTGTTGTAAACCAAGAAATTTCTCTGACTGTGCAGTGGACTTGTCAATATAATTTCATATGCTTTATATGCATATAATCTTTTCAACTTACCTTTTAAAAGATATTTAGCATTACTGTAGGAGTACAGCCTTGTCTAGAAATGGTCTTCCAACTCTGAAAAATAAAAAGGAAGGTAAAGAAAGTAATTGTAACACAACAGACACACAAGATAAAAAAATGTAAGATGTTTAGGCACACAGTACATTAATGCAGTGTGTTAATTATGGTTAATAAATATTATGCATTACAGAATAAAATGTTCTTTGTAAATAGCAAGTTTTCTGAAACAAGTATGGCTTATTAACAGATAATTTCATAACTCTAGCCCCAGAAATTTGTAAACCATTTCAATTTCATTACAGGCTTCATCTTTAAAATAAAATTGTACCCACACAATAGACTTAACGCTTATACACACGGCTACCAGACAAATACATTAACACAAACGTGACGTATATGAATACGTTCAAGACTACGTGGTACACTAATTGCTTTTATGAAGCATCCACGAAAGCATACCGTCTGGGTTTGACAGCTACGCCCACATGCTAACGCCGCAAACTAGAGCACTTAAATATTTAATACACAATATTTACTACAAATCTTATTAGAAACAAATTCTTTCCAACAGTAAGTAAAAGTACCTCTGTTGAGAAGTTTATTGCACAGACGCACAGTAATGAAATACGGACCAGATGTCTGTCTAACCATCAACAAACACTACACAAGTCGCCATGTTTATCGATTTTCACATGCGCAACACGCAATGCGCAGAATAAACACCAAAAATACAAAATACAAAACGCGAAATAATGGCGGGAATAGAGACTGACTTGCTTTTCAAAAAAATTCATAAAATATTACAGACAAAAAAAAATCGCATGAAATTATGTCTGACTTGCAGAATATATATAAAATGTTGTACATGACAGAACAGTAGAATTCCATACATTTCTGCCATCTAGTGACAACACACAACATGTAGTTGAAGTAATGGCCACTTTCGATATCTTACTTGTCGACTTCAATTTATTTATAGTTTATTTTAACGACGCTTTTTCAGTAGCACAGGTTATATGGCGTCGAATGAGAAGACGATAGTGTTTAATGGGATGGAAAAGATGTGGAAGGAAACGGTCGTGGCCTAATTAAAGGCATTATCCCGACATTTGTCAGGAGGGACTGAGGAAAACCACGATAGGATAGCCTGTCTCCGGACCGAGATATGAACCCGGGACCTCCGGAATACAAAACAGGAGTGTTTTCCACTCGACCAGGACGCTCGGTGTCGATTGCAATTGGGCACTGTCATTATCAAAGGTAATAAGTTAAGTAGGTAAAGCTACCCCGCTACACGCCATTCAGGCACTCAGGGGGAAAGACGTACAGCTCCATAATACAGACGTCAATGTGTCATGCTTAGCGCATTTCACGTTCTGATAACCATGGGTGCAATTCGTAAAATACAGCGTTGAATAATTTAATCTCCGCTGTCCAAAATACTCTTACCAACGTGAGAATTCAGTTTTGGAATTCTTGAGGCTGTGGAATTGTCCATGTTGACTATTTGGGTTTCTCGCTGTGTGGACTCGAAGGTATTAAGTGCCCACACGCACGGCAACAATAATCACGGGCGTAGTAACTGAAACAATGTGCCACGTCTTATGACCTGAGCTGAAAATGTTTAGCACTTACCTGAAGCTGCTAGGCACTCTTCTGGAATTCGACGATCTCACATAATTCTTCAGAACTAACATGAAAGTACTGTTACAACCAATGAGAACGTAGGCATCACAAACCACGACATCAGAATTATCAGGCAGAAGGAAGTTGGCTGAATTATAGTGGACACAAAATGAATAGACACGAAATTTCAGGATCGAAACATTGGAATATCTGAAAAGCAAAGTTAAAAAGAAACACACAGTAGGAACAGAAATATATTTTACTTTTACAGAGACACGAGTTTAATAAGTGTCGCCATCTTGTAAATGATATGCTAAAAAAGAGATTTCCTTTGTTTGCAATAGGTGAAAGAACCGGGTATTAAATGCACGTCGAGTTCACTAAAATACAGTCAGAGGAGCCTAGCTCTTTTGAGGTGAAGGTTACTACAGAAAAATTGCGACCAATTTCCACCGCTTCGTCCCAAGAGAACTGCAGTGACCAGGGCGGCTTCTTCTCACCTAGAGGAAACAGGCAGCCAGCATGGATCAGTCTACGACCGACTGCGTCGATCCACTGGATGTCATCCCCATCTGAAGGTGACCAATGATAGGATGTCCGCGGTATTATTGCAGACGAACACGAAGTTTGTCTGTAGCGCCCGACCCGGATTAGGGAAATGTCGCCCAAGATCCGGGCATCTCGAGGTCGCCCGTATTGGGCGATCGCCCTGATCGAAAACACGGTCCATCGGATCTAGCGACATCCGAGGTCGAATATGACGGTGATACGCCATGTCTGGGGGCTACTCGAGGTAGTAACGTCGCTGGTCTACGGTTGGACCGCCCCCTGCCGCTTGTGCTGTTTTCGCACGCTCCTCAAATGGACGGCAAACAGTAACAAACACCTCAACGTCTTGCCACGACTCTAGAAAGTGAAGAACTTTTGAAAGTCCTAAGTACCTCCTCTGGCATATGTTGGCTGTCGACTAGTGGCAAGTCTTTTACTGATTGTCGCCCGAAGAACGGTTTTATGGCACAGATGATCAAGTCTGTGATTTCTGAAGTGACAGCTTGTGTTCTGTGTCGCAAGGACTTTCCTCCGTGGAGTTATTATTGAGTTGTACTTGTATTTTTATGGAATAAGAAGGAACGTCTTACAGTACGAGTATTTAATAAGTTCAATGAACTGTGATTTAATCAAAGCGATTAGAGGATAAAAATACAAACACTCAAATTTTATATTAGTTTACGTACAAAATGATACTATACTCTATGATCACTTGAGATAAAAGGCAAAGACGAAACTCCGTGGTTTTATATTCATATACGACACTTGTCAGATTAATCCATCGTGAGGGCCATGTAATATTTTAGTATACATCATTTAGATCAGACAATTTTAATTTAATCCGAGTTTTAGCAAGATTTCTTTTCTTTTAGAATACTACAGACTTTTTGATTTGACAGAATAATATATGGGGAAATTTGAATGTGAAAAATTAATGTCCGTGTGTCCAAGAGACATCTCAATCACACTGACGGAATGCACCACATAAGAGGGTTACTTCTTTTCCTTAGGATGCTACACGAGTTAAAGAGAAACTCCTTTGCACCGGCTAGCTAGTAGATCGAACCAATCCACGAGATTCTCTGAATCAGCGTCGTCGTGCACAGAGCAGAGCAGAGGCACACAAAATTTTCATGCATTTTGAAAATCCTGTGAAAGCACATCTATATAAGTTCTTACTTTAAGAGACACAATTATAAGAATTATTTTACAATTAGCAATCGTCATTCTTCTGCACTAATTGTTTGTGCTGTTAACTCGGTATTACGAGTTGCTTTGCCTCGCACGAAATGTGAGCTAAATTAAGCCACAAATGCTAATGCAAACCAAGAAGATCGCGTCCTACAGAACCAGACGGATCGCAATATACTTTCAAAATAAAATGTAATGGGTTCTTTTCCGAAGAATTTCTTTAAAATACCAAATAAGTGCAAAGTCTATTTACAATAAATGCATCACGACATGAACAAAAACTGAATGCAATGAAGAGGGCAACCTAACCTACAATATTGTATTGTTGTTGTCTTTGTTTTATTAATGAAAAAATTCGATTAGCTTTTGTTTTTCACCTCTAATACGGTAATTCCCGAGCGTTTTGTTAATTTGGTTTATGCTGATACATTTTTTTTTTTGAAAATTTCCAAATTTGTGACTTTATTCTAATTTAAACAATTATATTTTGTATTATATGTCAAATACATAATTTTTACGTGTTATATATACTTGTACATTGTTAAGGAATTCGCATCTCACGTTAACTGAGTTTGGAGGAATTTTGGGTCACAATAACCCAAAAACTTGGGTTATTTTTAACTCACATTTAAAAGAATTATTTCAAAGATTGCAATAAACTGCTAAAAAAAGGAGAATAATATGTAATACTTTACCTATAAACTGTGTTAACAACACAGTGGAAATAAAAGGTTTTTCTGGGGCAAAGTAACCCAAATATATGGTTCAGATTCCATTTATTTTGTGAGTGGTAACACAAATTTCGAATTTTTGCAAGCAGATTAAAGTTATTTGTTGGAAAGAACAGCAACTCACTTTATAAGAGACTGGAGTTTTGAGGTTAGACTCTAATCGCGTCGAACCAACAGGAGGAAAGTGAAATGTGTGACCTCAAAACTGGTTTTCCTTCTCTTTGGAATGACCTTTACAAATTTATGATTTCTCAAGGTGAAGTTTCGTACAACAACAACAACAAATGAGACGACTGGTTTCACTTCAATCGCCAGTTAGCGGATCGACTCTTAGGAGGACGTACGTTCGATAACTTCCTCGTTTTGTACGTTGGTTATGATTCGACTTTCAAAGTAGCAATTTCTTTGTATTTAACAGACCACTGAATTCTGGTTGCAGGCAGGAACATCGCATTCCTTGCCAGCCAGTTGTCATGACACTCAGATTACGGGAGAGGCTGATTACGGCGTATTCCACTTCGAGACGCATGATTCTGCGTGTAGACTTTAGTTTTAATCGTCCCCACAGACTACAAACGTCATTTCAGAAATTTTGTAGTCGAGAGTCGAAATAATCAGACATGTCCCATAATTTTTTATTTACAGTCAAATTGACTCACATTAATACAATTTATTTGAGACACGTTGATGATGCTTGTATCGCAGTTGCGTGGGAAGGGATTTTTTATTCGTTTTCTTGCAGACTTGAATTTCTTTCACGATAACAAACCTGGGACTCTGAATTCTGGCGAATGGCTTCGATATTTATTAATTTATGCAACAATCTAGCATTTGTTTACACGACTGCCCCATTTTACCATTAAAATATATGCAGTTGTTTATTTTGTAAGTTCAGTTTCATAAACCAGCTTACTTTCACGTGTTTGCTAATGACCAACAGAATTTTAATCAGAGTTCCTCTGAAATTTTATTTAAACCGAATATAATTTGTAGCCTCTTATAATTGCATTACAATATGACAATCTGCAGAAGAAATTGTCCACTGATACACGACAATGCCAAAGTTCAATCATCAGCACAGCGAGAAGGAATTGGACGCCTTAGTGAGGCGAAGACGAGGGCTCGACACTTTTAATGAAATTAGGAGGTCACGTGCGTAATTTGCTAGTCACAAACACGAAACGTCCTTCTGTTTAGAGTCAACTCGTAATCATTGACTTCGGAAGAGTTCTTGAAGACCAAAACTTACATTCGCGAGGGTGCCTGCTCAGAATGTGACTTGGCGGCCTAACCAGTTTAACTGAAGTCTTCCTGTGGCCACAAATTCCCTTCCAGCAGCTCTACAGTCTCTTGTTCTAAATGAAAACAAGAGACAGAAACAAACACACATTGGGCTAACTTCAACCAAAAATTCATGAGGATTCAGATGAATCTGCTTCGTGTAAAACAGCCAATATTGGAGCTTTGTGCTGTTTGTTTGTATTATCAAGTTACATTTTCTTATCTGTAACACAAGCACTTTATTTTCCAACACAAATAATTATACTATCGCAACATATTCTGGTCAATGTTGAACATCAACAAGCAACCAGCATTCAAATTGATGAAATTATTATATTTGATTCCTAACATGGCGGCAGGATTCTCTTTACGCCTACATTAATAGTGGGCAATTACCATTAACAACAGGCGTCAGTTTAAATTTACATTGTTTTTATCTTTAATAAAACCATTTTTGTGTTTGCCATCTCAGCTCGTAAATGTTTTGTCTCGTAACATTTTTATCCATTCAAAAATAATTACTTTATTTTTAGTTTTAAATTTTCTTTACGCACGCGTCGTGTGGAATTAGAAACTGTTTTCTTTGCGTCAGTCAAAGTCGTTCTGTTTATTTTATTCAATTCTTGTTCTCATTCTTTTCTTCTAGGTTAGGTTTTGTTACATGAAGTGAGCGCAAATTTAAATGTTTCGAAAGTAAAATTATTTAAATTGGTTAATAAAGTGTTTGTGTAAAAACTAACGATAAATATAAATTTATTTATCTGCCTTATGCAAATTACTTCTTTACAAGAAATTATTACGACTGTCTTTCATTTACATTAAAGCGATCTGAAAGTATTTATTGACGAACAATAAACTTACTGAGGCCACGCACAATTCTTTTCTATCTTTTTCTGAAGTCGCTGGATCCAGTGAAGGAGGGGATACGAACCCCTGTCCTCGGGCGCAGTTGGCTGCATAAAACTGTGGGGTTAGAGTCTAGCCAGAGATACCAACTGTTTCATATTTAATTTACCCAGATTTCCTCCACAATACAGGGAATTCACAGAACTTAAGGACGTGTGTGCTCTGTTAACCAAGTAAAGTGAACGCATAATGGAGAGGTACTCAGATTCCGACGCTCAAAACTCTTTTCAGTTAAATGTTGTGCCGTAAAGATCACAAACCGAATCTGCACACAAAATTTTCACATGAATTAGACACAGCGAGAACATTTATCAATAAAAGGACGTCAACGCTCGCTCCAACGACTGTGGTCAGGAAAAAATATTATTCTGTTGGGAAGTCCTGTCACTAGAATCGCGTTCTCCGATTTGCCCCAAAATCATTTTGATCCTGTGATCAAGGAAAATGATCTTCCACGTGAACTTCGTCACCAACTACAGAGGTCACCGAATGCGTGGCTGATTTCAGCGTTTCATAAAAGCACTGCACTTTCACATGCCCTGAAACTCGCTTAATTACTCATCCTTTGAAAAACCTCAAACCCCTACTTTGGTATAAATAATTACCAGAAACCAAAGCCTGTCAGAGTGCTCGACAAAGTCACTTTAGTTCCCCACGCAAAGCTGAAATTAGTTAATCGTAATCTTTCGTTTTGCAAAACCCCCTACATCAGATGCCACGTTGACTGTGATCGCACTTCAGATGCCACGTTCACGTTGACTGTGATCGCACTACGTCAGATGCCACGTTGACTGTGATCGCACTACGTCAGATGCCTGAAACAAATGAATGAGAAGTGTTTAAACACACTTTTCCCACGCTTACGACATTCTGATTACTCAGTCTTGGAGAACGATTCTTTTAATGCGATGGGCCTATTTCTTAGTTCGAAACAGAGGCAGATAAATTTCAGAAACTCGTACGTACGGCTTCTCAGAAGCCAGAATTTGCGATCTGTTTCAGGAGGAGAAAATATTTATTAAATGATATTTGACTGATGTCACATTCTTTCTGATGAACCACACGCAGCATCAGAAGCAGAGAAATACGTTAACAATTTTCATTTCTCAAGGTTTCCGTAATGAAATACAGAAAAAGAACCTTTTAATGTGTTTAATTTAACAAACACACCTCAGAATGTATTTCACGTTATTAATTCTTGGTGCTCCTTGATGTGGGTTTAAGTGAACACAGATTACACCCGAATTAAGTCCCTCTTATCAATCACTAAAGAACTAGTAACTAATATTTCGAGTTCACGCTTGTTACATCAAGCGTCTTCAGTGCACACGAGAGTTCTTTGACGTCATTCGAACTTGTACGTTCCAGCGCCACTCGCTCGACAGTGTCAACTTCTCTTGGTCAGTGTTCACATCGCGAGGCATTTATATCGTCCCTGGCCTGAAAAAAATGGATGAACCAAGAACCTCCTGACATAAATTCCTTGCTCACACCACGACGCTAGAACCCGCAACTCTAACCTCATTCTCCATCATTTTGTTAGCAACTGAGTGTCGGACTGACGACGCCTCGTCTTGTCCTTCCTCACGTTTCGTCTAACGGTGTCTTGTCTTGACTGCTCGCTGTGCATCCGGCCTAGATTTCCTCATGAAAAGTGTTTCGTTTGACTCCAGTCACAATTAGTTATGCAAGAGTCACGTGGGCACAAAGGAATAACCGACACGTGTCCATTACCATTATCATCGATGCTGTTCTGTTTTTAAAATCGGTCTCAATTTAAGGTTAACGCTAAAACACACGCCGAACTGAATAAATTTTGTTTTTCCTGATATGTGTCAGCCTTGTCTTCCGACGGACGCTCAATTTCTGAACTGGAAAGTTATCGAGTGGATGTCTCGACCGCTGTTCGCGTGCTATACGGATATTTCCTGGATCTGAACTCGCTTCTTCACTGTGCCCCCAGTGCTCGTGGATCTCGCTGGAGGCACTGGTGTCGAACTGGGGGCGGACTGTCTTGGGGGCGGGGAGAGGGATGCCTTCAGAAGAAGCCGACGATGAGGACCCAGGAGGAGGAGAGTGTCTCCTGCGGTCCCGGTCGCGCTGATAGTAGATCCCCGCGAAGATGAGCATGTTGAGCACCAGAAGAAGACACCCCACTCCGATCGTGACCCCCAGGGCGGCCGTGTAGCTGTAGTAGTGCCTCGTCGCCAGTCTCTGGAGCAGTCCTGCTTCGTCTTCGACATTCCCGTCGTCGGAGTGACGCAGCAGGTCTTCTTCTGAGGTCGAGTTGGGCAGACATTCTGCTCCTAGTGGCGAACCACTAGGACTTCGGGGCCCAGCAGATGTCGTGGGATGAAATGGCGGGGGCAACCGAGTGAATGACTCAGGCCGAACCACACCTGCAACGGCGGTCACTTACTTCGGCGAAGAAAACGAATGACAAGCGTTTAAAAAAAGACCTGGTTATTATAACATGCGAGTGTTTGGACTCAACGGAAGAGCAAGCGAGAAATTTGCGCTCTCACGTAACTTTTTGTGATTTGAACAGATTTCCTAGGTTCAGTACTTTTACGATATTTAAATGTGGACTGGGCGTGTGGCGAGGCTGGGGAGACGAATGGAATGTTTGTCGAAGTTTTGGAAGGCGACGAAAGAAAGTTTTAGGGAACGATAATGTGAGAATGGAAAGCAGGTGAGACTAGGTCATGATGACGCCAGGAGATGCGTGATGCTTACCACTCACTCCCCCTCCCCCAAGCGCCTGCATGGCGTGTAGCGGGACGGCTTTATTTTACTACTGCGTTGGTCTGATATCAGATAAGAATTCTACCGCCTGAATTTATAGCGCTCTGTGGCAGAATAACAGGGAAAATGTTCGCAATTTAAAACAACTTACCTGAGTAATAGAGTTCCCCTCGCTCGTGGAAATGGTGGTGTCTCATGCTGACATCCTCGTCTCCGGGTTGGTGCAACTGAGGGATGAGGTTCAGCCACACCGCCATCTTGTGGCCCCTGTAATGGCTTCTCATCTTTGGTTTCAGAGCTGCACAGAGAAACAGTCGAGCATCGCCACACGAGTCTCCGAGGCACTGAAACAGGGCTGGTCCCGTTGAAACGAGGAACTCTTACTGAAAATGTGTCACTAACTTTGTTTTTGACTGGGAGCGAGCACTGAACAGCTCCACACTTTCAAAATTTTTTGCTTGTAAAATTAAACATTGCGTTCAGTGAATGAGCCCTATCAATTTTGCCTGAAATTAAACAAATGACGTATATCGGTTAAAGATGGATGTCTTCTGGGTTGTTGCGCCGTGTAGTCTGGTCGATGACACCAGACCCCATTGGTTAGGATCAGGCAACTCCTTCAACAATCCGGTCCTTGTAACTCTTAGCGTTTTCAGCTCGCATGGCTTATTCATCGCCCTGATGAAGGAGGCAGCATGGACCTCTGAAACGTTGGTGGACATCTACCAGACCACACGGCGCTGCAACCCAGAAGACGGAAATCTTCAGACTCACGGCCTCGTGACGTAGCAATAAGAGCCCTGGAGTGGAAGTCTGTCCGGCAGCCTAGTACAAAGGGGCTTCATCTCCTTTTCCCGTAAGATAAAGTCAGAGCAAGAAGTCGACTGTTGCAGTAATTAATAGATCATTTGACAGTACGGAAATCTCAAAGTACTTGCAGATGGAACTGAAAAGGATGGATTATATTCGAGAAATGCCAAATATATTGAATTTCGCATTCGTTTCTTGTTCCTTGCTTTACTGAAGGTCGTTAAATTATGTCCAATCGGCGCGCGCACATTCTTTTATATTAGCGATACAACTGCTGTCTCGCGGCAAATATTGACAACAGAAGAAAGTGCTGAAGTGGATTTGCGGGCCAAAGAAAGATGGAAAAATGGAAAAGTCGCAGTGCTTAGTTAGTCGGAAGAATAGGATGGGCGGGACTTACGGAACACACCTTTGGTATAATATTAAAGTGGATCTGGAAGAAAGAAGAATGTAGAGTTGTGCAGTGGACTCATCCGTCTCACTTTCGTGAACACAATGCTGCCAATTTAGGTTCCATCTGTTACTGCATTGCCAACCTGACAAACTATGAATCTCTCATTCCTCTCCGAATGTTCTGCTTAAGTTGGCGCTCACAAAAGAAGAAGAAGAAGAAGAAGAGATTACAACTTCCACGCAAAGTGTTGTTACATCTTAGGTAATAATGGTTCAGATGATGATGATGATAGTTCGATTTGCATTTCCTCTCGACGAACTGCGCTATGGAAGTGAACTGTACACACTGCCCTGTAAATATCATTCTTTTTATTTGCATTCTGCATCGCCTGACAATGCTCAGTGAAAATAGATAATCGCATCGCGTATGTCACGAGCGAGACGTGACACCTGACAGACTGAGGCGGCATTCAAAGACCTCAAATCCGTAACACCCGGTTAATCAAGCCGCCGAACGTATTTATTGGAAAAACGGGCTGTGGCTGTACTTTGTTGTATAATCCCTAAAGTTGTCACATGTTCGAGCTGCTGGCGTATGAATTTATCACTGACAGCAGCGGCTGTAGCTGGTGGTCTACAGAGCCCGGGGCTTTGCGCGAAACCCGCGGTGCATTCGCCATTCTTCCACTACGGCCCCTGATCCTCGGCACATCGACGCCATGACGCCGAATTGATCGACAGCGAGCCGGTTTAGCAGTTAGTTCTAATACAGTTTTAACAAGAGTGCCGAAGCGTTTACAGGGAAGCTAAAATGAACTGGCGTCACTCCATTTGATGACAATTTATGTGCCTAATTTCCACCGCGCCACCGCTACCTGCAATTATGAATGATCATACCAACGTTTCACAGAAAATAGTCAATTCCAATGTTACTACATGTTAACGTTGTGTGTCATTTCACAGTTTTGAATGTTTATCTGCAGTAGCGAGCCGAAAGCTAAATACAGATTAAACTCCGTCACCGCGCTTTTTAATATTGTACAACAAATTCATAACAAGCGCTACGCGTTTCGGAGGATTTACTACGACGCTGTATTTGAGGT